GGTTATAGGCATCACCAGAGGGGTAACGCGCATATCGTAAGATAATATTTCCAAGTGCTTCACACTGAAAACAAACGTGAAAATGCAGGCGATGAGTCACAATAACGTGGCTAAAGTAGATCATATCACTTTTTCACTTTCAAACGTGAAAAATTTAATTAACAAAAACTTGTCAAAATGTATAAAGTATATCTGGACCGCTCCTAGCTATTATATACTGCTCTTAGTTAAACAAGCCTTCATCATCAATAGAGAAGTTATCAAAATTTCCTTAAAATTTGATGTCTATGATAATGCGTATCTACATAGGAGATGAAACGAAAATAATCCGAGCGCTTTCGTGATTTAACTCATTTTCAAGGAGAACATGAGAGGGATTATAGAAGGGTGTAGGTGTGTATAACACCTACTCCTGAGTAGACTAAGAAACACAAACAAAACATAAGGAAGTGACATGTAAAATGAATAATGGGAACAGGTAAACTGCATTTTAAAATCATACTTAAAGTCACAGGGGTCATGTAAGCCCACACCCAAGTATTACCCATCTACGGTCCGTCTAATTACCAAAAACTACCACATGCTACACACGCTTCAGAAAACTTCCTGGCAATACGTTAGTAATGAATAAATATGATATATTTACTCATTACAATGTTGGTGCTGAACATACAACATGAAAAAACATAATTTTAATCCGAAAAAGTATCTTTTTATAAAGAAATTAGACGAAAATAAAAAGCTGGTGACGCCAAATCAAGTCGACGATCCAAGCTTCGGTTAGGTTAGGTTAGGTTTGGTTAAGTTAGGTTAGGTTAGGTTAGGTTAGGTTAGGTTAGGATAGGTTAGGTTAGGTTAGGTCAGCCTAACTTAATATATCATATTTATTCATTACTAACGTATTGCCAGGAAGTTTTCTGAAGCGTGTGTAGTATGTGGTAGTTTTTGGTAATTAGACGGACCCTCTATCTACTGCACTCCTTGAAAACGCGAAATTAAAATCGTTAAATCGCGAAAGCGCTCAGATTTTTTTTCATTTTTCTCTTCTGATACTTACGCATAACTGATCACGTGTTTTTTGTGATTATTCTTGTATCTATAATAATAAAGCGAATATTTACAGTCTTTGAACGATATGTAATTCATTTTCCCGTTTTCTTTATTCTGGATGAAGATGTGGCACGTAACAAGTTTGGTGTTTCTTACGGTGTTGACGATGTCGTGGGCTGCTGCCGATGTCGACGAGGACGACGACTTTCTCGGAGATTTCGAACCAAGACGTTCAGGTGATTACCGTACCCAGTCCAATCCCCTACGTGGGTTGGACTGGGTCCGTAAAGGCTACGGATACCACACCAGGAAGTTCCGAAGCCCTCACCGACGCGTCAACAAAATACGCAATGGGCGGGACGTCTAGAGCAACCCTTATGACGAGATTATCTTCCTGTTACCTGCTGTTGAACAACTAAACTTACATCCTAAGGCTGCTGTACTAATTACAGATGAAACACGAGGCTTCCCTATCCCTGGAGCGGAGCGCCTCTGTCGTTATCTTGGACATTATTACAGTGGAGTACAATACCACTGTACCCACCCATATCCCAGGCATGGGTACCACGACCCTGGACGCTGCTGTTATGTGGCAGGTACGTCTCCAAGCCAGAGGTTGTGCCTTCAACCTCTTACATGATGGCCATCTTTAACCACAGCTTCACGACTCATCTAGCGACCAAAACATGGCAGACTTAACAGAGCACCAGAGATATACTCTGAATATTTACTACGTGACATGGAGTGTACGGCAGGTGTGGTGGGAAGCGCAGATGTCTGCTCAGTAGAAGGATCCACCGCCCAGCTGTGACGAAGTGCTTCACTCCACCCTGAAGCCACTCAAATTTTCTACTCATGTTGATCTTGTTTGCTGGGATTTTTGGGGGGCCAAAATCTTTTAAAATAACATCTATTCGTTAATAATTTTTGCATTATTGTACATGTAAAAATAAAAGTTATAACCGTCTCCTTATTTATTGTTTTTTGTTCTTTAACAGGTCAAAATGCACTCACGGAAGTAAAAAATCAAATTCACAATAATAAGTATATATAAAATTCATAACAAAAATTATCGCATCAGGGGGACGAATACACCGAGAAGTGCGTCCCGTTTCTCGTTGTATATACAGTGAGAGTTTAGTTTAGTCCTGGACACTGTATGGGACTAAAGTATACTGGCTGCTTGGTCAGTAGGCTGTTGTAGTCGCCTTAATAACCCTCCAGAGGATGATAGGCTTTAAGCCTAACACCAGTGCAAGCTGACAGCAATATATATACACGAGAGGGGCTGTATACCATTTATCGAAGTATATATAGTCTACAGTTTACATTAGTAAACCACATCATAGGTAGCTCGTAAAGACTTCAGTCCTTGTTTACAGAAAACTAGTAAGTAATTATCAAAAATAGTCGCCAAGCAGGGGTGACTATGTAATAAGAGAACTAGTAAAACTAACTTGACCACATACACCTAGTTAACCAAACATGAGCCATTAGGAGATAGGTTGCGTCATATGAATCCAGCTTTTGTTATATGAGGACAATGAGTCACAATAACGTATAGCTACAAATGACGAATGTGACTGTCCCTTCACCAAACAAGAACTAATCAGAGGCAAAAAAGGTGGTAAGGACTGCCCCAGGTGCTGATAACATTACATACTCAATGATCGCACATGCGGGTCCTGCTGGAGAACAAGGAATATTGGACGTTATCAATGCATCTTGGTAGCAAGGCAAACTGCCGACCTCTTGGAAGAAAGCAGATATCATTCCGATTGATAAGCCGAAAGAACCTGGCAATCACAGACCTATTCCATTAACATCATGCATTAGTAAAACTGCAGAACGTATGGTCTTAAATATGCTACTGTGGAAGACTGGAGACCTGCATAAAGCATTCGAACTTGCAAGCCCGCAAGCAATTTTACACACCTTAGTTAAAAAAGGTGTAAAGGGAAATATGCTAGCATGGATTCAAGATTACCTAAGTCACAGGTATGCCAGAGTAAAGTTGCAAGGACAAGTGTCGGACTACCACTTGCATGAGAATGGGACTCCACAAGGAGGAGTCCTCAGTCCTAGTCTTTTTAACATCCTTATGGAAAACCTTGTTACCATGACATTTACAGAAGGGGTTAAATTGCTAAGCTATGCTGATGATATAGCATTAGTCATTACAGGTCCTTCACTTCTAAATAAAGCACAAGGTGCATTAGATAAAGTAACATCTGAATGCAGCATTTTAGGGCTAAAAATATCTGCACAGAAGTCTAAGGCAATGAGACTAGGCGGCAACACTCCAGACAGGCACCTACGCATTCAAGACATTAACCTTCAGTGGGTTACACAATATCAATATCTCGGAGTGTAGATAGATTCTAAAATGACATTCAACAAGCAAATTCAATATCCGAAGGAGAAAGGAAAATCACGACTGAATATAATGAGAGCAATCACAGGGCCCCGTCTAGGAGCGGGACACAAAGTGTTAAGAATGTTTTACATACACGCCGTTCGTTCCCTAGTTGATTATGCAGCGCCTGCCTTACTCACTCTTTCTCCTGGTCAGTGGGCAAACGTTGAGGTTATTCAAAATGATGCAATGCGAGTCATAACAGGAGCTCCCAGATGGACTAAAATACTGAACCTAAGACTAGAAACCAAGCTAACGTCGATTGAAATAAGGGTAAAAGGGATTGCTGCGTGCATGCTGACCAAGATATTGACTAGACCTAGAATCAGTTCACTTAAAGATATAATCACTGGAGCACTAACTCTGGACAGAAGAGCCTCCAATAGCAACAGGTGGACCCATTGTGCGATAAACACCATCAATACATTCGATATAACAAACACAGTCACTGAGAAGGGTGTCGACGAAATACATGCAGACTTTGTTATGCAAGCCCCTTGGGAATCTCCGCCAGCAGACTTTAAGATTATGGTTCTTGAAGGAAAAAAGAACCAGACAAATCCTCATCTGCTACGTAACATTGCACAGATGCATATAGAAGCAAACTTGGCATCTGACAGCTTCACTTACTTCACAGATGGATCAGTAGACCAGCAGGGACAAGAAACCGGAGCTGCAGTTAAAGCAGGAAACTCTGTAAATAGTTGGAGACTCTCAAATGGGTGTTCGACTTTACAAACAGAGATGCTAGCCATTCAAAAGGCTTTGGAACATGCTCTTGCTGAACACCGACAACATGTTATCATACATACAGATTCGAGAACTGCCATTGAAACCTTGCAACAAGAACACATATGTGATAACATCTATCTGATCACAAATGTCATATCATTAATGCAAACACTCAAACGACAAGGCCGACGGGTACTTATCAACTGGGTGCCAAGTCATGTGGGAATAATAGGAAATGACATTGCAGACGAAGCTGCAAAACTTGCAACTAAGAGAAGAAATGTAGACATTTACATACCACAGAGTCTATCACAGATTAAGAAAGTAATTAGAAACAGAGCAATGCAAAAGATGTACAGTGACCACAACACAGCAGTTGCAACATCAGGATCTGCGGGTTGGTACAAGAATTCAACCAACTACGAACCACTTAGTTTGATGAAAGGGAGCAGTAGAGCAACAGAAGTACACTTACATCGCATCAGGCTTGGATACCCATGTGCATGGGAAATAGGCTTACAGGTTCCGGAAGATGAGAGGAAATGTCAACACTGTGGAGAAATGCCCGACAGACCACTGGAACATTATCTAACACAGTGCACAGTTACAAACCCATTAAGATTTCAACTTAGATTCAACAGAGCAGAAGTTGTTAAACACATGGGACAAAATCTTACTGAAGCGACCATACGAGTCATAAATACTCATACTCCGCCCAAGTAAAACAGAAACAAGCAACACTTAGTGGGCCAGCCAGAGGCTTAGGGCCCGCGCAGGAATATCCCTGAAAAAAAAATTAATTCAAATTTTGGGGATAGGAGGCGACTGAAAGCAGGTTCAGCGCGGAGCTTCAAGACACGCCTCCTTGTGTTCAATCCTCCTCTCCTCCTTACCCTTCCCATCAAGCCAAAGTGCCGCCCCCTCCCATAGCCCGAGTGAAGCCTCGCCCGCTTCCAAGTGTCGCGTTTAGGCAAATATATAAGAGGGGTCACAGCTGGTATCACCATCACAGTAGTGCTTGAGGTCTCAGACGACAGCCAGGAGTGTCACACCACAGTGCCTAGAGCCGGGTGATTGAGAGGGGGAGTGCCATCACTGCCAGCGGGAATTTCATCTGGCACAGAACATTATGATTAATTAAGTGTCGCACAAACAAATTCCTTCATTTTGGGTCTTCAAGGGGCGATTGATACAGACCTAACGTCTTCAAGTTCACTGTGAGCCTTGAGACAGCACTTGCAGACTGTCACTATATAACGGTATGTTTGCAACATCATCTGTTCAGTTTGCAAAGGCTGATGATAATTACAACATTAGTTGAGTTAGTCATACTCTAGCTATTTATATCTTAACTAATTACTCACTTATTTAATTTCTAACATTACGTTAATGGTTGCAGATGGTCAGCGTTGAAAGTCTCGTGTTTTTAGTGGTGTTGGTGGCGTCATGGGGCGCTGCCGTCGCCGAGGGCGGCCAATACGCCTTCCAGAGAGTCGAGTACTTCAACTACGAGGTCCCACCCCAACACCATCATCACCACTACAGCCAACCCGCTGGGCAGGAAGAGCCGCCCCGAGAGGAGTGGATGCCGGTCGACTCTCTACGTGGTTTAGACTGGACCAAAAAAGGCTTTGGGTTTCACACCAGGAAGTTTCGCAGCCCCCATAGACGGGTCAACAGAATACGCGACGGGCGGTAAATCAAGAGTCCACCTTATGATGGAGAGCGTTTGCTGCTATCTGTTGGGGGACCAACGCGTCAACTGACGTTACAATCTGAGGCTGCAAGTGGAGGTCACACACTTCCTGAAGGAGTGCTCTCAAGATGTGTTCCTAAGACCAACGTCGCCGCCTAGCCCCACGCCACCCTGACGACAAGGTCCAGGACTGCCGTGCACAACAGCAACTTCTCTAAAAGCATAGTGAGCGTTCCTAGTGGACCGAGGCTTCAACTTTAAACTTGTCCTCGACGATCACCCAGGAGAGCCTAACAGGCATAACACAAGCAGCAGTGAAGTGTTCATTATATAGCCATGTTGACATTATACTACGGGCTCACCATAGCCCGTGCTACTAGGGACTTTGTGTTCCAGGAAGCGAATCTTAAACAACAACAAATTGTATCAAGAATGTAGACAGCAGTTACCGTATTTGTCAGCATATATGACAAAGATAGTGTTTGGGACAAACATCTTCAGAATGTTTCATCATACATTTATTCAAAGTGATGTTCAAGTGGCTTTGATCAGAAAACACGATTTTGTGCATGTAAACACAATATATACTTGGTGGTGGACAAAAAATATGCGTCGTGTCCGGCGGGAAATACAGAATTTATGGTATAACTTGCAGGCCGTCTCTCCAGCACAAGAATGCAACGCCCTGCAACATGCCCACGTTGAACAAATCCACAAGGGCAGTGACGAGGATTCGAACCTCGAATCCTCGTCAGGGAGGGCCAGGTCCTCCCAGACACCTGGTCAGGGAGGACACATGTGAGCGTCTGGGAGCATCCTTTCAACCCTTTTAACCCTGTCGTAGCTCAGTCGATTAAGGCAGTGTCTGGGATGCTCCCAGACGCAGGTTCGAATCCTCGTCACTGCTATTGTGGATTTGTTCACTTGATGCATCACGTTAGTGTGATCTCTGTGTGTGATGACCGCGTTGCATGAGGGTCACCATCTCCCACATTTCCGTAACCTTTTATCTTCACATCCTTTCTCTCCTTTTCAACATACTGTTAATAAAAAATATAAATTATATTTTTGTAAATAAAAGAATGATTAAACTAGACTTATATATAACCAACATTACACAATAGGAACGTGGAGAGAGAATAGACTGAGGAGACAACGATGTATTCTTGTCGCGAATGGAATTTCTAGAAGGTGCTGATGTACTAGATTTGTTTTTGTATTTATTATTGGGAACACAGGTGGAAACTTAGTACCCAGATGAGCCACAGGGACGTTAAAAAGAACTTTTCAGTGTCAGAGTAGTTAACAGATGGAATGCATTAGGCAGTGATGTGGTGGAGGCTGACTCCATACAGTCTCAAAAGTAGACATGATAGAGCCCAGTAGGCTCAGGAATCTGTACACTAGTTGATTGACAGTTGAGAGGCGGGACCGAAGAGCCAGAGCTTAACCCCCGCAAGCACAACTAGGTAAGTACTAGCACGCATAGCGTTTTGGGCAGATCCTTAATACTATTTTCTCTCCGGAATACGACCCGCCAAATCGTTTAACAACCAGTTGGTGGTGATGATCTAGAAAACTGTGCATTATTGCGTGGTTGTGCTTGCGGAGGAATGTTAGCGCGTGGCGTTATTGGTGCCTTGGAGAATGTGGAAGGCAGAGAGCCGTATGCTGAGTTTGCTGCAGTGTGTGGTTAACACTGAACTTACTCAGTGCGTTTTCTGTGTTGGGCGAAATGGTGCTGGTCGTTGGTTCAGTGGGGACTGTGGAGGATGGATTGTTAAGTTAGTTAGTTTAGTTCATTTATTATGCACCCCATACCCATCTTGTGGGTGGTAGTGGAAATGGTTACAGAGGCACATAATGGGCTCAGGGACTGAACCCCACAATTCATTTAGCTAAGCAAGTTACAATCTTGATGAGCTAGTTACAAAATTCAATATAAGTCGTCACATCAACAATGGGTTCGAGATCGACCACAAGTACAGTTTCTAAATTAAGCAACTGACAAATGTGGAGAGCTAGTGTCACAATTGATATGTTTGTCCTGCACACCGCCCCCCATCCAGTGGGCAGCGGTGGATAGGTTACAATCACTTAGTTACTACCTACAGTTAGCAAACTGGGGATATTTGGCTAAAATTTCTGATAGCAGATCATTTTGAATGAAATATTGACACATCGCTGGAACATTGGTTATAGAATTGTCTCTAAATTCACATATCTTTTCGCACTCCATCACATATAGTGACGGAGGGTGTGCGAATAATTTTGTTGACACAGTTTACATTTGGTCAGGTCTACATCAGCAGATAATGAGAATTCCCAGAGATACTTGTAATCGAGTCTAAGCCGAGCAGTAGTAACATCTAGAAGTCTGCTGATTTTATTGGATGATCCATAGATGTGTGGCTCCTCTTGCATGATAGTATGATGACAGATGGAATTACTGGTGTCGATTTTACTTTGCCTCAGATCTACAAGTTTTTGTTGAAGTTCTTTTTGTATTACTGCTCTCAGATTGCACATTGACAATCCAAGGTTACACTCAACGTTCATCTCATTTTTTTCTTGCAATGTATCTGTTATCATTTTATTAATTCAATAAATATAAATATATATATATTATATATATATATATATATATATATATATATATATATATATATATATATATATATTTATATATATATATATATATATATACTCAAAGTTCAGGCCATCGTCCATTAATAAATACTTCATCAACGTCGTTTATATATATATATATATATATATATATATATATATATATATATATATATATATATATATATATAAACGACGTTGATGAAGTATTTATTAATTTATTTATATACAAGAACTACATGGTTTGTGAGAGTACAAAACATTGGTGTTCTCATATTCTGCCAGAGCCACTAACACGCATCGCGTTTCGGGTAGAAACGCTATTTAGTTAGCTGTCTATATAGTCTAAAGTAGTTAGACATGCTCATGTGTTTACAATTGTCATGCCTTCTTATCGGAGCTAACTAGCTTCTGTAGTGAACATTCAACTTTTATTGTTTCAGTGCTAGGCTGGCGGCAAATCTGCATGACGGTTATTCTGTTTTTGTTCATGACATGTGCGAGTGTGTGGCTGGGTGCTGTAGCGAGTGAACGACTGCTATCTGCAATGCGGACAAGGACTGTGCATTTTACTTTTTGTTTAAAATTAAGAGGAGGCTTGAGAGTGGCTTGTTGTAGGATAGCAAGTGGGTTAGATTGAAAGCAGTCACTGAGTCTTCAGATATGCCAAATTATTTGATGCCTGTGTCGGTGTTGTAGTGGATTGTAGGTTCCAGAACCTTTGATTCATCAGACAGTTATATAAGTACTTACAAACCCTGTTCATCATTTCTCAATCTTTAGCGGCTTTGTTTACATTTATTACAGTTTATGAGATCCGAAGCACCAGAAGGCTGTTTATAACAAATGCAACAATTGATTGGGGAGTTTCGATGCTCGAAAACTGTTTAACAAATATAAACAACGCCATTAAATATGTATAAAAGATATATATATTCGTTAGTACATGCGAAAACGCTTGTTGAATCAGAGGGCTCCAGAGGACAGCACCACCACGGTGTTCATCCTAGCAGGCGAAACAGTGTTTGAGTTTGACGATGTTGTTGTTGTTATAGATTCAGTTACTCGGAACTAGTTCCAAGTAGCACGGGCTATGGTGAGCCCGTAAGACAATTGAGTTTGACGTGGTGGCTTGCAAGTGTTGCTGAATAGCAGATTCTACAAAAGATTCAAGTGTACTACAGGAGAACAGTGTCCAGGAAGCCTAAGCAGCCTCGGCGTACTAGCATATACCCACAGAAATGAACACTGCAGGAGTGACGGGAGCTTGAGCAGCATCTGCATTGGTGTGATGTAAATAAGTGTGATTTTTTGTTTACTCATGTTGTGCATGTGGGAATACCTGCACAGACGTATGTAAAGGTTTCTATATTTTATGATTTTTTTTTAATTTTCTGCATCGCTTTAGATGTGTTTTTAATTGTTTTGTATCCTATCATATCGCTTGTCTTATCCATAATTATTTTTATGTCGTTCATAAATTCGTTATAATGTCTATGGGTTAACTTCCCGCTTCGAGAGCATTGTTTTTCTCGTCTATTGTGCAGTTTCAATCGTTTTGTCTCTATTTATTTATTTATTTATGCATATACAAGAAGGTACATTGGGATTGTGAAGATACATAATATGGTAACTACAATCTTGTAAAGCCACTAGTACGCGCAGCGTTTCGGGCAGGATCTACTGGCAATACTGCAGTTTTCATTGTCTTGTCTCTACCGTCTATAGTGGTTCTCATAATCTTGTTTCTCCTGACTATACTGTAGGTTTCATCCTCTTGTTTTTCTTGTCAATACTGCAGTTTCTATCGTCTTTCTTCCCTCTGTATATAATACAGTTTTCAGTCTTGTTTCATGTTATTACTGCAGTTTTCATTGTCCTCTTTTTCCCGACTATGAAGCAGTTTTCGTGGCCTCCAAGACTGTATATGTCACTTATAGCAGGGATTGTCGTTTATATATTCATAACTGCTGTCGATCATGTTTTAGCCGTAAATGACATTCTTCCTATCGTGGGTGAGGGTGAGGGTTCACTCACCTAATTGGGGGTGAAGATAGCGGACTCTGCCCGCGGGTTGAGTTTTACGGCGACCAAAGAGCTGGGGATTGAACACGCACCTACTTACGAACCTGTTTTTAACCCTTCGAACCTTATTTTGAGTGCCACGAAACTTCCCAACTAAATGTTGCTATTGTTATAAACAGCCTCCTGGCGCTTCGGAGCTCATAAACTGTTTAATAAATGCAAAGAATGCCGCCAAAGATTGATAAAAAAAGTTCTATAAAGGTTCTTAACTATTTGTGTAACTGCTTGGTGAGTCCACCTACCGGACAACGTGCCTACGTGCGGACTCGACCCAACTGTCGACACTAACACCTTAGGAACTTCCGCTCGCTAAGCAAGACATGCATTTGGGATCATGGCAGCAGTAGCGGCGTGCGTTGACTCCCATTCTGTATGTCTAGTGCTCTGACCACGTGATCAGGGGGTGATATGACCACGTGCTTGTGTCGTCATGTACGTTCACCCGTGTTATCATGAACGTACACCCGTGTTATCATGTACGTACACCCGTATAACATACATATACCCGTGTTATCGAGAGAAGAAACTTTAACCAGCTGATGAAACGTACTACTGATATGCTTAAACTCTTTCACTCAGTCGCAACTCTTGCGGCTGAGTGATAGAGTTTGGGAAAACGGCAGATCGGGAAACGTTTGTCAGTGGTCTCAGTTGTAACACGCCACTAAGCCGGGCATGGAAGGATATCAATAAGATCATTATTAAGGTGCGAGATCTATGCAGCATTTTTCCTGCACAGATCTCGCACCCTAATCCTCTGCACAGAGCAAATGAGCTGGTTGATGGTTGGGCCACAACTTCCAGCTTCGACAGCCTTCCTCTACCCTCACAGAATGAATTAAATAATAGATATGCTGATAGAGCAAGGCTCCTTGACTTCATGCGTCATCAAGAGGATGACTGTGACATGCTGTTTACTGAATACGAACTAGACTCTGTTCTACATAAAGACAGAGCTACACCACCTGGGGAGGATAATCTTTTTAATCTTGAGATGATTTCGGGGCTTTAGTGTCCCCGCGGCCCGGTCCTCGACCAGGCCTCCACCCCCAGGCAGCAGCCCGTGACAGCTGACTAACACCAAGGTACCTATTTACTGCTAGGTAACAGGGGCATAGGGTGAAAGAAACTCTGCCCATTGTTTCTCGCCGGCGCCCGGGATCGAACCCGGGACCACATGATCACAAGTCCAGGGTGCTGTCCGCTCGGCCGACCAGCCGATCGGGGAAGGATGGAGTTACTTACGACATACTGCGTATGCTTCTGCTAGTTCCAGGGGAAACCCTTGCTTGAACTGTATAATATGAGCTATGTAACTGGGGAGCTTCCGATTCCATGCACCAATAGCCTCATTATTCCCATTCCTAAACCTATCCATCAGTGCTTTTCGCCCAATCTCCCTCACTAGTTGTCTTTGTGTTTTGAGAGGATGGTTCTAAACCGTCTCCTTCATAAAATTAGAAACCTGTCTCCCCAGATATATGGCTTCACGCAAGTAAGATGTGTACATCACTGTATTATTACTGTATTATGTAACAAGCACATTATTACTTGATTGCAAACTGTTTATTGCTAGTAGTGAGGAAAGGGAGTCAGAAATAATTAAGCTGTCTACTTCAGTGTTGTCAATAATTTCGAGTGCTACCAGTATTGCTACCAACTCAGCTTGCATTGTGGATGCCTAGTTACTAATTCGTATATTCCTTTGAATTGTGCTGCCATCGGGCTGATGAGTAATAACAGCACTTCCTGCCCTCCCTGTAGCTGTGTTGAGTGATCCGTCAGTGTATATGGTCTGTGTAATGTTGTTTTCAGCTTGTATATTGTGAATGTGTTCTATGGTGCTTAAATTAGCAGCAAGATGAGTATGAGGGTAGTTTGTGATTAGTTTCTTGGTGGGGTATGCAGGGGTCAGGATGTCAAAAGGTACTATCTGCCAGGGTGGAAGGAAGTGCTGTACTCTTTCATCTGTATATACGTCGTACAGTCCCATCATTTTAATATGAGTGGCAGTTCTTTGAATCCATTTAGACTCGCTGGTTCCATTACGTATGTGTTCTAACAGTGCAACTGACACAATGTTGTTTTTGTTATCACGCAGAAGTTTTAGTCCCATCATAAGATTGATTTCAAATATTCTATCTCGAATGCTAAGTACATTTAATTCTTTCCGTATATTAAGAACTTTGGTAGTTATAGGACAACCAAGTATAATTATGAGTGCTTCATTTTGCATTTTTTCCAGTCTATCCATAATTTTGCCATTTTGCATGACTAAAGCTGGTGCATGATAGTCTATCAGAAACCTTATATATGCTAAATACATCATTTTTGCTATTCTAATATTAACACCGTACTTAGGGCTGTACCCCACTACAGTTCTGAGAGCCTTGAGTCTGTCTCTACACTGTTGATGTAACTTATTGACTGCAGTTGAGGTACAAGGGACAGAGACACCAAGGTATTTGAAAGAAGAGACAGTCTATTGGTATGTTGTCTATCTTAAGTTTTCGAAGTCCACTTTTGCGGTTGCCAATTTGTCTGTTAAATACCTTAGTTTTAGCAGCGTTGATTACAACACCAAGGCTCTCACAAGCTGTATGTATACAATTTAAGATTGTTTGCTTTTCGCGGTGAGTTTTAGTATGTACAAGGATGTCATCTACATAGCTGATAGTGATGTTTACCGGACTAGTTGGGATTGATTTTAGTAAGGCATTAATTAGAACATTAAACAAGGTAGGACTTAGTAATCCTCCTTGTGGGGTGCCTAGTTGCATTAATTTAGTTTCACTCTTGTAGCCTTGGAACAGTGCAGAGGACTTCCGGTTGGTAAGATAGCCTCGTATCCATTGTAATAAATGTCCCCCTATATCCATTCTCGCTAATTCATACATAATCACTTCCCTATTAGCAATATCAAAGGCATTTTTGATCAGGTTGGGAGAAAATTGATACAAGCCTAATGTATATGTATATGTTACAATAATGTGGTTGAAGATGTGAGGAATAACTTCATCATATAAGATGAATATATGATGATATATCTTCATCACATACAACTTGATAATGATACAGGACAGACAGAAACATCGTCGTTTCTTCATCCTCTGGTATGTGGTTTGTACGTCATATTATATATATATATATATATATATATATATATATATATATATATATATATATATATATATATATATATATATATATATATATATATATATATATGTGTGTGAGAAAAGCTGCAGGATTTAGTAGTATTTAGCAAATGGAATGCATTAGGCAGTAATGTGAAGGAGCCAGACTCCATACACAATTTCAAATGTAGATATGATAGAGCCTACCAAGCTCAGGAATCTGTACACCAGTTGACAGTTGAGAAGCGGGACCAAAGAGCCAGAGCTCAACCCCCGCAAGCGCAACTAGGTGCGTATACAATGTACTACAAATGCAGATGCAAACACCTAGCCTAACTGTACATAAAATTATACTATTCAACAATATCAATTTATAATTGAGAAAAAACTACATTTTTCTAAATTAAACAGTACATGAGCGCGTCATAGTGGTTAGCCGTAGCTGGGAAGAGTCTGGCCTGAGACTAGGCTGCATGAAGAGCGTGTTTGTCTGACGTCCGTGTTAGGCAGGTGTTGTGACAAACACGCACCTCCTGCAGCCTATTCTCAGGCCGGGCACGTCTACGTCAGGCAGGTGTTGTGCACGTCCGCGTCAGGCAGGTGTTGTGCACGTCCGTGTCAAGCAGGTGTTGTGCACGTCTGCGTCAGGCAGGTGTTGTGCACGTCTGCGTCAGGCAGGTGTAGTGCACGTGAGGGAGGAAAGGAGGCGGGAAGTGCACCCGCCGAGGGGCGAGCAAGGGGGCGACTTGCGAACACAAATCACGTTAAGGTACGCGAGCAGTTTGCCTGACTGAGGTAATTAAGCAGTCCGTCCTCCCCACCGTTCCCGGTCTCACTAAACTAATTACACACAGAAATCACAATAGCGTGATGCAGCAGTCGATTAAGGCAGCGTCTGGGATGATCTCGGACGTAGGTTCGAATCCTCGTCACGGCCCTTGTGGATTTGTTCACTGAACTCATGTATTAAATTGCTGTTTTTAGATTCAGCTACTCTGAACAAAATCCTAAGGCTCCTTTAGGGTAAACCTTTACCTAAAAGGTTTTTACCTTTAGGGTTACGGTAGTTCAGTCGGGTGCGTCCGGGTTCTAATCCCGGGAGGGACAAATGGTAGGGCACATTTACTTTCACCTAATGCCTCTGTTCACCTAGCAGTGAGTAGGTACTCAGGAGTTCGTCAGCTTGTTGTAGGATTGCATCCTTGGCGGGGTCGGTAATTAGGCCTTGGGGGGGGGAGGGATAACCTCGATAAAGCCTAACTTGTATGAATACACTCTGGCTTCCTGTCTCCCGGCACAGTGAATTATGAATTAAAAATATTCCAAGTAGCACGGCCTAGGGTGAGCCCGTCGTGGACTTGCCCAGCACGGGAGCGGGGCTGTATCTGGAGATTTAGGTCTTAAGGGATTTATACGTCAAAATGCGATGTATTATTCGAGAGGAAATGTATATGTTTATCTCTCAGAATGTTCGGTAATATATTTATTGTTTGTGATGTGTGTCTATGTATGTATTAACACGATGTACTGAACGGGGTGAGAATAGCTTGAGTTACCTCATCCCTTTGTGTGTATTTTACCGCAATAAACTTATTTCAATTCAATTTCAATTTCAATTCGAGAGGATGCGAGTTGCCTTAAGAGAGGGAGCAGAGGATAGCACTTCCTGATGCGCAAATAATTTGCATTCGTTTATAGTCTGATTTCCCCCCCCCCCCCACACCCACACTAGCCTCCCTATCCCCCCAGCCTGAGTCAACGGTCCGTCCCACTCAAGCCCTGGGGGGGGGGGGGGGTGGCGGGGAGGGAGGCATATAAGAGGCCCAGGAGCTGGTCTGGCCATCACAACACCGGGCGAGGGATCACACGGCACCGTTCACTTCCAACACTCAAACGCAGGTGGTTCAAAGTAAGTCTAATCTTGCTATGTTTATCGTACATTACCAATGCCCTCGCTGGTCCTCGACTTGTTCATCAAATATGAAACAGATTTCACTTACAGTCTGTTGTTTAAGATTCGCTACTTGGAACAAAAAGTTCCAAGTAGCACGGGCTATGGTGAGCCCGTAGTGCCTCACACTTACAGTCGATTCTGATTTTGTGGAGTACTAGTGTCGATATATATTTAAATATATTTTCAAGAAAGTGTTAGTACAAATAATTCAGAAAAGTTGGAATTTGTTTGGTTTGATGCATTTATGTAAACTTTCCTAATTATAAATGTACTACCATTTGTAAACACAATTTTTGATGATTGTACACATGATGCTGCTTGTGTGGTATTGTGGCAGGGAGGAGGGGGGGGGGGGAAGAAGCCAATAGTAAGTTTACTCTTCAGCCTGTGTTCTTAACCTAAGGGTTCCGGGGTTCAATTTTCGCGACAGGATGGAGACATTTGAGCACTTTTCACCTGATGGTTCTGTTCACCTAGCAGTAAATGGGTACCCAAAGGTTTAACAAATGTTGCGGGTAACAAATTTCCTGGGGAAATTCTGTAGTTGTTCTAGAACTGTGGTTCCCAACTTCATATGTTCAACTCCCCCTCTCCCTCCTTTTCCAATCACCTTCTCCCTCTGTGGACTCCTACAGACAAATAGATCGAGCTAGCAAAACTGTTGTTGTTTAAGATTCGCTACCTAGAACAACAAGTTCCAAGTAGCACGGGCTATGGTGAGCCCGTAGTGGAATGTAGCAAAACTGGCAGTAACCATTGCTGTGACAAATACTTACATTCATGTATCACAAACACTACAGGGTTATTGCCAGTTAGAACTATTGTATAGTATGTATTTTATACCACAATACCTTTTCCTAATTCCAGTAAAATAAAAACATAAAAATATACAATTCCCATGAACCCCCAAGGGGATCTATGGACCCCCAAGGGGATCTATGGACCCCCAAGGGGATCTATGAACCCCCAAGGGGATCTATGGACCCCCAAGGGGATCTATGAACCCCCAAGGGGATCTATGAACCCCCAAGGGGATCTATGGACCCCCAAGGGGATCTATGAACCCCCAAGGGGATCTATGGACCCCCAAGGGGATCTATGAACCCCCAAGGGGATCTATGAACCCCCAAGGGGATCTATGAACCCCCAAGGGGATCTATGAACCCCCAAGGGGATCTATGGACCCCCAAGGGGATCTATGGACCCGCAAGGGGATCTATGAACCCCCAAGGGGATCTATGAACCCCCAAGGGGATCTATGGACCCCCAAGGGGATCTATGAACCCCCAAGGGGATCTATGGACCCCCAAGGGGATCTATGAACCCCCAAGGGGATCTATGAACCCCCAAGGGGATCTATGGACCCCCAAGGGGATCTATGAACCCCCAAGGGGATCTATGGACCCCCAAGGGGATCTATGGACCCCCAAGGGGATCTATGGACCCGCAAGGGGATCTATGGACCCCCAAGGGGATCTATGGACCCGCAAGGGGATCTATGGACCCCCAAGGGGATCTATGGACCCGCAAGGGGATCTATGGACCCCCAAGGGATCTATGAACCCCCAAGGGGATCTATGGACCCGCAAGGGGATCTATGGACCCCCAAGGGATCTATGAACCCCCAAGGGATCTATGGACCCCCAAGGGGATCTATGGACCCCCAAGGGGATCTATGGACCCGCAAGGGGATCTATGGACCCCCAAGGGATCTATGAACCCCCAAGGGATCTATGGACCCCCAAGGGGATCTATGGACCCCCAAGGGGATCTATGGACCCCCAAGGGGATCTATGGACCCCCAAGGGGATCTATGGACCCCCAAGGGGATCTATGGACCCCCAAGGGGATCTATGGACCCCCAAGGGGATCTATGGACCCGCAAGGGGATCTATGGACCCCCAAGGGGATCTATGGACCCGCAAGGGGATCTATGGACCCCCAAGGGGATCTATGGACCCGCAAGGGGATCTATGGACCCCCAAGGGATCTATGAACCCCCAAGGGATCTATGGACCCCCAAGGGGATCTATGGACCCCCAAGGGGATCTATGAACCCCCAAGGGGATCTATGAACCCCCAAGGGGATCTATGAACCCCCAAGGGGATCTATGAACCCCCAAGGGGATCTATGAACCCCCAAGGGGATCTATGGACCCCCAAGGGGATCTATGGACCCCCAAGGGGATCTATGGACCCCCAAGGGGATCTATGGACCCGCAAGGGGATCTATGGACCCCCAAGGGGATCTATGGACCCGCAAGGGGATCTATGAACCCCCAAGGGGATCTATGGACCCGCAAGGGGATCTATGGACCCCCAAGGGGATCTATGGACCCCCAAGGAAGCCACTGGACAAGAAAGGATCCATGAACCCCTGGTTGGGAGCCCCTGCTCTTATAGAGACCACAATAAACCTAACAGCCTTCCTATCCTTGACAATGTGTAGTCAAACAAGGCATCCAAAGCGTCAGTTATTTACATACACCTGACGCTCTCCACAACCGCGAGAGGTTGGTAAATCATGTACAATTTTGTGATTAAACCATGTAGCTATTTACTAGGTAAATCCTAGAAAAAGTTGAAAATATAGCTATCGAGGTGATAAACTGAGAGCTAAATGTTTCGTCCACCATCGTCAAATTTAGATATAACAAAACAATTATATAAACATGCGATAAATATATCTTTTGGCCGCACTGTGCCTAGACTCTTAACACAATCAAATCTAACTTAACATAACCAGACTTACCTAATGAAACCTAACTTAACCTAAACCTAGCCTAACCAATCCTAACCTATCTTGCAATTATCTTGCGATGATTTAGGGACTCAGCATCCTCGCGGCCCGGTCCTCGATCAACCATATTATATCGTCACCTTTACTAACCAAACTGATATAGTTTAAAGTGAACATTTAAAGCAAGTAAGACAGTGCTGTGGCTAGTATAACTGATGTTCTGCCTTGTCCTGATCACTTTTAACCTGAGTGTTTTGTTACAGATGGCACCCAGCTGTACGCTCTTGGTGTTATCTGTGGTGCTGGTGGCGTCCTGGGCAGCCGCTGCTGACGACGATGGAAATCCCTCTCCTGGTGGGAATGGCGTCGTGGGGGATGCCAAAAATTCCAACATGAAGTCCCATCACCACCGCTTTCGTAGCCACCACGAACGCCGTAACAGAAATCACCCCGACCGACACATCCGAAGAGCCTCTGACGATGGGGAGAGGCTACCCCTGTCCGCTGTGAGCCAACTTAATAACTAAACAATGTATTCTGTAGCTACTGTATCATTCCCAAGCCCTGGAGAACTTGCGGTACGACACGCTGACCAATACCGCCGTCTTGAACGCCATGGACCAAAATTCGTTGTTCAAGTTTGGCAGCTGTGTCCACTGAGTAGGCTGCCGCTAGGCTTGTGGCAGCATCTTCGCCGATGATCTCTCCAACAACCTAACTCATAAGAACAGCAGACCTACAGAGCACCCGAGACATGCCACGCAACACCAACATAGTTATTATGAAAGTGTTGTTAGATTATAACTAACTAAACATTTACACTGACATAAAGTATAAATTATTAAGGATATGTTACGGGGAAAATGATTCGCCAAAACCTCCTCTTCTTGTTATAGCACGTCGCATTTTGACGTATACTTAAGGCCAAACACTAATGTACAAGAATATGGTAGCGGCTGGCGAATTTGACAATGTCCCGTTTTCTGTTCGTGGGTCCTCTGGTTGGTTAGGTTAGGGCATTTTAGTACCGCAGTTTCTTGATATTGGGAACACTGGCGAGAACGGACCACGTCAACAGCGCTCAGTGACATGGATGAGTCGTCTGGTGTCCGGATATCAGTTGAAACCCCATATTATTTCCATGAAGTTACCTGGAAGTCACCATCTATAATGGCTTCGGCGGGAACAGCAAACTGGCGGCCTGCCAAACCTCTCCCATTATTATTATATTCTCGTCTGGTATTACCAAATATATTGTTAATACAAGCATTTAATGCTTATTTTTACATTGTTAGCACGATTATATATATTTATATATATCTTAAACAAAATGCTGAAAATCGGAAATGAGTTTTGTCTATCAACCTCAGTTTCTAAGTTCTCGACTCACAATCAAGGATCTCAGGTTCGATCCCCCCCATAGCAGGACAGAGCTGGTTGGGCACGTTTTCTTTGATCTGATGGCTCTGGTCATCTAGCAGAGTTTGAGAACTTGTGTAGCATGAGTCCTGGGAAGGTCAGTAGATCGACCTGAATACAAGGCTTAGTACAAGATAATATTATTATACCAAAAGGTGCCACTGGACTTTGTTGTGTAGTATATTGAGTTAATTTCAATCTTCAAATTGGTTTTTAGACTTTTTTTTATTAATATATTAGGCGCATCTGCATTTGTGCAGCTGCCCTAGACTGTATGAAAGGAAGTACAGCTGCCCTAGACTATATGAAAGGGGAATACAGCTGCCCTAGACTATATGAAAGGAAGTACAGCTGCCCTAGACTGTATGAAAGGAAGTACAGCTGCCCTAGACTATATGAAAGGGGAATACAGCTGTCCTAGACTATATGAAGGGGAGTACAGCTGCCCTAGACTATATGAAGGGGAGTACAGCTGTCCTAGACTATATGAAGGGGGAGTACAGCTGTCCTAGACTATATGAAGGGGAGTACAGCTGCCCTAGACTATATGAAGGGGAATACAGCTACCCTAGACTATATGAAGGGGGAGTACATCTGCCCTAGGCTATATGAAGGGAGAGTACAGCTGCCCTAGACTATATGAAGGGGAGTACAGCTGTCCTAGACTATATGAAGGGGGAGTACAGCTGCCCTAGGCTATAAGAAGGGGGAGTACAGCTGCCCTAGACTATATGAAGGGAGAGTACAGCTGCCCTAGGCTATATGAAGGGGGAGTACAGCTGCCCTAGGCTATATGAAGGGAGAGTACAGCTGCCCTAGACTATATGAAGGGGAGTACAGCTGTCCTAGGCTATATGAAGGGGGAGTACAGCTGCCCTAGGCTATAAGAAGGGGGAGTACAGCTGCCCTAGACTATATGAAGGGGGAGTACAGCTGCCCTAGACTATATGAAGGGGGAGTACAGCTGCCCTAGGCTATATGAAGGGGGAGTACAGCTGCCCTAGACTATATGAAGGGGGAGTACAGCTGCCCTAGGCTATATGAAGGGGGAGTACAGCTGCCCTAGACTATATGAAGGGAGAGTACAGCTGCCCTAGGCTATATGAAGGGGGAGTACAGCTGCCCTAGGCTATATGAAGGGAGAGTACAGCTGCCCTAGACTATATGAAGGGGAGTACAGCTGTCCTAGGCTATATGAAGGGGGAGTACAGCTGCCCTAGGCTATAAGAAGGGGGAGTACAGCTGCCCTAGACTATATGAAGGGAAAGTACAGCTGCCCTAGACTATATGAAAGGGGAGTACAGCTGCCCTAGACTATATGAAGGGGGAGTACAGCTGCCCTAGACTATATGAAGGGGGAGTACAGCTGTCCTAGACTATATGAAGGGAGAGTACAGCTGCCCTAGACTATATGAAGGGGGAGTACAGCTGCCCTAGACTATATGAAGGGGGAGTACAGCTGCCCTAGACTATATGAAGGGAGAGTACAGCTGCCCTAGACTATATGACGGGGAGTACAGCAGGAGATGTAGGATCTCTCATGACTTTAAGGCAAAGGGTAATGTTGACTTGCATGATTCTCTCTAGTATGGTTGGAAGCTTCAGTTCTTCCCCTCATGTTGATGATTCTTGTGCATCTTGGAGCACCAAGAATTATCCTCATGGCCTCATTCTGTACTACTTCAAGTTTGTCCAACACAGAGGCGGGGAAGTTAATTAAGTGCAAAGCATTATAATCAACGAGAGATCTAACAAACATCATATAGAATAGTCTAGCATATTTAATATTGATACCAATATTCTTACCAGTAAGTGTTTTCAGTGGCTTTAGTCTTTCTTTTAACCTACGGTGTAGATCATTTACAATGTCACTGTTAATACCAACTCCAAGGTATTTGTGCTGCCTACACGTTTCAATGTTCTGGTTGTTGACCTTGAAAGCTATAGGGACATGAGTTTTCTCTTGAGGATGGAGAACTCTGGATTTAGTTATAGAGATAACAAGACCACATTCAATGCTTTTAGCAGCGAGTGAATCAAGTAGAGCTTGCAGTCTAGTTTGGGTGTTTGCAACAATGCATATGTCATCGGCATAGCAGATGACGGCTTCGTCAGGTAGTGTGGGAATATCAATTGTTAATTTGTGCATCAGAACATTGAACAGTGTAGGACTTAGCACTCCACCCTGGGGTGTACCCAACTCAAAGGGTGCACAAAGTTTACTTTTGACCCCCTTGAAAAGGACTGAGGCGGTTCTGTTACTCAGGTAACCCCTGAGCCATGTCAACAGTCTTCCCTTAACTCCGAAAGAGGCTGGTTGTTCCAATATTATTTCTCTGTTTACTGAATCAAAGGCAGTTTGGAAATCAATAAATGCCGCCTGATAGCTTGGTCCCTCTCTGATAAAATATTCAGCAAAGCAAGTTTGTGTGCTTCTTCCAGGAAGGAAACCATACAGGTTAGGGGCAAGGTGGGGCTTGATTTGAAACATTAGTCTGTCGAAGATAATCCTCTCAAGAACTTTACACATGCACGATGTCAGAGAAATAAGTCTGAATTTTTGTGAATTAGGCTTGGGTATGGGTATTATGAGTCCCTGTGTCCAGCGGTCAGGTAAGACACCCTGCCTTAGACTTTGATTAAACAATTCTAGCAATGGGCTATTTGGCAGCTCAGCAAGTACTCTCAAGGTGTTGTATGTGATGCCATCCTCTCCAGGAGAGGTAGCCTTACCTTTCTTGAGTGCATTTTTAATTTCAAAGGGGGTTATGCCATAGTTATCATCAGGCCCTATTTCTCTACAGGCAATTTCAATATTGAAGTTACGATTTATTTTGCTACTAGCCAGATGGTGTTGTACCTCTAGGGGGCAGGCTGCTTATACTAGCAGTGCTTGCATATTGCTGAAGCAGCATGTCAGCATAGTCTACAGGTGAATGGTGATCAAGTTGACGACTGCTAGGACGAGAAATCTTTTTAATTTTAACAACATTTGGGATGAGGATATTGCATGATTGATCCTTTGCAAAAACTGTTCCCAGTGCTGGTTATACACCTGTTCCTTTAGCTCTCTAAACTTCCGGCTGGCCTTAAGAAATATGTTGAGGGTGTCAGTTGTTTTATGTGTTTTATACTGCTCAGCGAGGAATAGAACTCTGTCATGCAGGGGCTTAAGGCGGGAGTCAGTGAACCACCTCTGTCCCTTCCTCACTGTTTTGGGTCTTGTGGATTTTACAATATTGTCATAAGAAACGGTTACTTCAGTGACCAGGTCCTCATATAATGCGTTGACAGTAGTAAAACAGTAACTGTTATACCATTCAGAAATGCGGAATTTGAAGAGCATGTGTAAATTTTCAGGGATATCAATTTTTTTTTTCAAAGCTTAGGGTCTGACATTATTGATAGTGTATGAACTGAATATGGCAAAGTGATCACTAACTAATTCATGAACAATTGATCCTCCGACAGCATTATCAATGAGACCGTGACCAATGACATAATCAAGCCTGCCACCCCTGAGGTGTGTGACGTTAGAGGAGTCAAAGTTGAACACGGACATGTTATTATCTCTTAAGTATTTTACAAAGACTCTGCCATTCCTGTTTGTTTTGGTGTCACCCAGGCTAGTGTGTCTAGCATTAAAATCACCCGTGACAATGGTATGAGAGCTGCTGGTAATTTTTGGAAGAGAAGCTTCCACCATTTGATCACACCTTACATATACATTAACTAAGTTAAGAAACCCGGTCGCTGTAGCAATCTGAAACTGCTGATAATATGAGTCGTCACTTTTGTGGTTTTTAACATGTTTACACACTAGGTTACTTTTAACATACGTCAAGATACCGACATCATGGGAACCAACATTTGAGAAAGCTACATAACCTGGGAGTTTGGGTGGCGTTTTATTTTTTGTGTTTGCAGTGTATGGTTCCTGCAGGCACAGTACATCAATGTTGTTGTCACCAGCGTACATCAGTAGATCAAACAGCCTCCCTCGCACGCTTCTCACATTCCACGTGAGAAATTTAAGAGTGAGTTGGTCGTGGGTAATGGTGTTCATGAACCTGACGAAGAGAAGTGTTTACAAGGTTCACAAGTTGTAGACCATTGCATACAAATGACAATTGTTGACAGTCATTAATGGCAAAGAGTTCTCTCATCTGTGACAAGGTCAGTTGGTTGCCTCCATCGTTCCTAACATTTACAATCATTTCATGTTCATCAAGGTTCATAGAGGTATTGTTTGTAATGAGTTCTTGAGCGCATTTGCTAATTACAGTTAAGACCTACGGGGGTGTCATATGTTTCACTCGCCACAGCGGTACTTACAGCACTGGAGGGGGGGGGGGTCAATATTTGCTTGAGACGTGTCAACACTTACATCACTGGATGACATTTCACTAGAGACTTGGACGTTCACTTCACTCCTCAGGCCGGCGAGAGGCTCGCTTGAACACTGTCTCAGGTCGTCTATATTGATCTTAGTATAAATGCTGTTTAGAGCCAAAATTATATTGCCTGTTGGTCACTAGGCTTTTGTCGGGAACCTACCGGGGGTTTATTATTTTGAATTCCTTTATTTCATTATTTTGAGTGCACTGTATGGTTTATTCATTTGCTAGTGGACTGTATAGATTTAATTTATACCACCGATAAAATTTCCGCTTTACAAAAATAGGGGGGGGGGTATATTTTACTACACGGAAATTAATCCGTGAGTATTTATAGTTAGTAATATTTATAATAAATTTAGATTATTTAAAACTACAATGAATTTAAATTAATATTGAAAGGTCAAGGCTTAGCTGTATTAGTAGTGGAAGCCTAGTTGGTGCCGAGTCGGCTCATTACAGTCACGTAGTCATGGTGTCAACCACAACAGTACATATATAATAAAAGAGCTCTAACATCAAAGATTGAAC